TATTATTTGACTATTAAGTAACTATTAAGTGGCAATTAAGTAGTGATGTTTATAAAAATTGGGCAGTTTCAGCAATGTATTAGTTTCAACCTCTATCCAATAGAAAAAGTTGATAGCAACAGCTGATATCTAGAAAATCTTGATATAGTTTAGTATATACTTATTAATTAATATTATAGCATAGTTCATATACAGAAATATACAGAAATATATGTAAATATTAACCTTAATAAAGTTTGCTAAGTAAGGTTAAACTAGTTTTAAAATAATAATAATAATAATAATAATAATAATAATTAATAGAAAAACCAGTCTATATGATTATAAAAACTCTTTCTGCTGATTCTTTTGCCAACCCCCAAAACAGAATTCTCAAAAGATTTTTTGTCTTTATGATAATAAAGTCTATACACTTTTCTTAAAAACAATATTAGTTTTAACTAGCCAAGCAAGTAGAAGCTACCACTTGTTTTATTTTTTTTTTTCAAAATACTTTTTTTGTTTATTTTTGTAACTAAATAAAAGAAACCTATTTAAAAGGTCTATAGCAAAAACACATTTATAGGAAGAAAATTGACAAGAAAAAATATACTTCAAAGATTTCTAAAAGACTCAAGAATCTAGAGAAACAAGAATAAAAAAATCTCCAGTCTTTCTATTATCTCTTTAACTTTCCACTTCTTTTTTCTCAAGTATGCTTTCTTTTTTTTTTGGTTTTTTGGAAAATTTTGCCCACCTCAGTTTGACCTTGAATTTTTTGGTTATATCAGATTTCCTGAAAAATAATTGGTCAAGGTCACAGATTGGTTGATCACGTCAGTCACAGAAAAAGTAAACAAGATATGTACTTCTTATATGTTTCCAGTCATGCAATACCAAACTGATAATGTGATTGGTTCCTGAAAGAATTGAACAGTTTTTAGTTAAAGGAGTAATATGAAAGTATTAAGTGAAGTTGAAGTTGTGAGTAGAAGACGAGCGACTTTTTTTTGTTCCTATCTTTTTATTTTATTTTTTTGTTTTCTATTCTTTCTTGAGGACAGAAAGTAGTAACAAGATTTAGGTTCTATCCCAATCTGGTAACAAGTTGAAGTATTGATATTTATCCTGAAAATGATTGGAAAAGAGAATCTTGAAACTATCCACTGGTTGAATAAAGTTATAATTTCAAAAAACATGGCTTGAGAGAAAAATCAATAATAGAAAACCAATATTTTTTCTAGTTAAAAGTCTTCAAAGCATAAAGTTTCAAGAAATACTCTTCTAGAAGTATTTTTAAATATTCTTGAACATTGATTACTCCATTGAAAATTAAATAGTTTGACTGGTCACAGGCAATAAGAAGTGAGAAATTATAAGAAGCTTGGGTTTTAAGTTTACTGAAATAATCTTTTCAATGATAGTTAGAATAGATAATAGCTTTTTTTTTTTCTTTTTCTTTTGTCAAAAAATTTTCTTTTTTTACTTCTTTTTCTTTTATGTAGTTTCTACAAGAGAGAAGTGACCCAATTTGGATTTATGGTCATGATTATGGAGATAATTTGCAGGTTTTGATCCTATTGAAAGTTCAGGATTTTAATCTTATTCTTTAGGGAACAATATATTACCTCCATAAATTGTATCTAGAGGCTTCGGCTGTCAATGGGTAAGTTGGATTAAGAAAATTTGTACTTTGTATATATTCTTGTACATGTAATAGTTTTCTATAATTTAATAAATAAATGACACCAACCTGATTGCAGGATTAAAAAAAAAACCCCCTCCAATCTATATAGATTACAAAATATTATATAATTAATTTTTTAATTGTAATACATTTTATTTTTTTAAAAAACTTTTATAAACATATTATTGTTTTTATAACTAAATATGATTTTGTTAATTAAATTTAAAAACTTGTACTTTTGAAATTATAATAAACCATGAGACAAGAACTATTTATTAAGAAAAAAAAAGAATTATCTAATAAATCAATTAATATTATTGATTTATTATTTAATACAATACAAATTAAATAAAATCATGAGCAATCAATATCTTTTAAAGAGATTTTATTTACTGTATATTTGAACTCTAATTATATCTGATAATAAGTTATTATACTGTATATACGGTATTTAATAATTTAAATTTTTTAAACACATATGAGCTTACTTGATTTTTGTAATGCAAATTAAACTATCTAGATTTCATATCAACAAGCATAAATCTCTTTTTTTGTTTGGTCAGTTTTTCTTTAATGCCAAATTAAAATATATTATCAATGATTTCGGTCATTATTGTTAAAGACAACAAAAAAATTATTTAGTGCGTGCTTTGCATCGTCAATAAAACGATATGTTATATTAATGTATATACAGTAAATAAAGCTTGTATTTAAGATCAAACTCATGAAAGAATTTGTATTTCATGATAAACACGGATCGTTTATTCGTGATCATTTAAAGTTATTTATTATAATTTTTTATTTTATTTTTAATTATTTTTAATATAAGTAAATGGTATTTCGCTTTTAGAATTTTTTTCGAATCCCAGAATCACATGACTTTATAGAAAATCGAAAAATCAATTATTCGTTATATTTTCATTATGGTAAATGGATTTTTTAGATCATGGATTTTAAGGCTTTCTTTTTCGTACATAGTAAAACAAGAATTCCAAGAAACTTATTCAATTCTATTTCCAATTACCATAAAAGATTTTTTATAATCGATAATGTGAAAAGACAGATCTGGACCAGGACCGGCACCAAGAAAAAACCGAACTAAGACCAAAAGGCCGAGACTGGACTAGGACCTGCAGGACCGATACATTACATATGGAGCTTGATCGACAAACGGTCGCTTTATCAATTAGTAATTCCGATATTAATGTATCTAAAATTAGGTATGCCAATCGAGCCGGAAAGTACTGGGCAAAAGTTCGTTCTATTTTCGAAGATCCTGCAATTTGTTCCATTCATTCCCAATATGAGTATATGTTTCGAAATTTCGAAAATGTAAAGTACGTTTACACTATTATAAATTCATCACAAGACCGGCCCGAATAACATTCCGATTCTTCCTTTAAAAACGAATGATTTATACGCATAATAAAAATCATTAATTATTTAGGCAATGGACAATGGATTTTTTTTTTTATTATTATTTTGATTTAGGTGATTTGTATAATAATTAGGTATTTTGATAGAATCCGCCACTTTTTAATGAATAAATTTTAATCACACTACCATTCGGTCGGAGCCATGGGCACTCGTGTAACGACAACAATTTCTAATATTGATGTGATAATTCAGATTGGAATGCTTCTGTCACAGATGTAAATACTGGTGATATGCATTACGTAACTGATGGTGGTATCATGAGTTTAAATGTTACAAATGCGGTCAACAATCCGACCACAGGCCAAAAAGCCCCTACACAAATACGTAATTTCAAAAATTTGATCTTACCCATAAAATTATTATATAAAAATTTATATAAATACAAGTCTCATAGCGAATTATTGAATATGTTTAATAGTAATCTAATCTCGGCTTTGAATGCTTATACCATGGGTGCTGTGAGTGTTCTTCGTATACAGTAGGGAGGAGTGAATTTGTAAATTTCAGGTTTCTGAAGAAGTTTTTTCTATAATCAATAGATACAAAACCATTTGAAACCTCCAAGTTCGGAAAATAAAAGTGGTTCAGAAGGTTCATATTTATATCAATCGATTGATTATGTTCTTCAAGTGCGGATCATTGATTTTTTCAAATTTTCACAGATTCGGACTCGGACACAAATCTTGAAACATCTACGGAATCATCATTAGAAGCCATTTATCTGACCCATCTGATTCAAGAATTTGAACAAAAGAAGATCGATGATGAGGAAACCATTCCAAAAGTGAAAAAATTGTTGAAAGAGAAGAATACCGCCGAAAAGTTGCAAGAGATCTTTAATCTGGAAAAGCTAGAGCAGCTCAAAGGAGGTGAACAATATGAAAATATTAGATTTTTGATAAAATCTTATCGGGTTATGAGAAACATTTTTGTTTATCTATCGTTATTTTTTAGAATTCCGATGTACATTTTTACGTTCCATAATGCTGCAGGGAATTATGTTTCTAACGGAGAATCACATTTGTTTTCATGCATATTTTCCGAGAGAACAGGTATTACTTACATGATCGATCGATTTCATTTATCATGTTCGCGTCTACAGGGTTCGGATAACTTATTTTTCAAACACCGTTTCTTTTTTGATGTCAAGGATGTTGTACTAATGGACGGAAATCTTTGGAAAAGATCCGCTTACGGAAAATATGATCGATACTATTTTTCCCTTCAAAATGATATTCTTACGTATTATGAGGATCCCATGGTAAATTTTATTCGTTGATTTTACATAGTATGATAGCATACACAGTACATCTTATATGGGTGCTTCTTTCTTTTATTATTTTAGGATTTATATTGTCCAGTGGAGATAATAGATCTCAAATACGCGTTGCGGGTAGAAAAAAGCACATCCAACAAGAAAAGATTTAAGCTCGTCGTCCCTCATCAAACTTATAAATTTATGGCAGATTATGAACAATCAATGAAAGAATGGGTCACTCAATTAGAGAGGTCCATAGTGAGGGCGAATAATGATGGAGATAACGTGAAGGTTAGTTATTTTGTAAAAAAGATATGATATAAATATAAAATGTGTCCAAATACTAACATCATACGAATATGAAAGGTTGTAATACCGATAGACAGTGTTGAAAGTATTGTAGATAATTTGTCGATGAATTTTCCAAATACGATTCAAATTAATTCACGGGACCCTGATGATCCATCAAGTTACGAGGAGGTAAATAACTTTATGTCATCATCTCATTCCAATGTGTCACTTCACTTTTGACTCATGAGATTTTTCTTTTGGTCAAAAGTATTTCTTTGTCTTCTCCTCGGATAGTCAAACCTTATTTAAGAACCTCAATGAACTTTGGAAGTCACACGAGTCACTCGTTCCACCGAAATCAAACCCATCGTTGCCGAATTCTCCAACAATGTCAACGCGTTTAATGGATTCGCTGAAAAAATCCATCTCAATTCACGGACGCTCAAAAAATTATGACGAGACATCACCAAACACTCATAGATCGTTATCAAGGTCTCCAAAACCATCAGATTTGACATTAGAACCATTTTCACGACGCGTTTCAGTGTTTTTCAAGAATCCCGCAAAGTACATTAGCACCTTTGATGAAAATCCTTCTGAAGAGACGAATGAACATTTCAGACATTATTTCGCGTTGAAAAATGAAAAACTCGATGCTGGTATGGTAACAGATACCATTTTTTTAATGTGTTCCTTAACATTTTGTCCTGATGATTTTTAACATTGGACACTTGTTTTTTATAGTATTTTATGGATATTATCTTCGAATGATTCCGTTGTACGGGAAATTTTTTATCTCGGAAAATTACGTTTGCTTCAAATCAAGGGTTTTGGGGGTGAACACAAATGTAATTAATCATAATTCTACTTGTTCATGATCGATTGTCTATATCTGAATTATAGCTAAATTTTAATTTAATGCCAAATAGATCATGTTGCCAATATTGGACGTTCATTTCTTCAAAAAACAAAAGGCAACAATGTTGGGATACTACGGCTTGGAAATATTAACGAAGGCACAGCAGGATATGTTTTTCGAATTCGGTTTCATGGAAATTCGAGACCGATTTGTAGAAATCCTAGAGTATAGGATTAATATTCTTCAAAATAGAAACAAGAGATCATCTAGCGATGGTCAGGCGTATGTGTCTTCACTTTGCATTCACTTATTATTAGCGCAATGCTCATGACGACTGATTAACGTTTTTTTACTGGTCAACCTAGTTTAATTCAGCAAGCCATAATAAAGGATCAATTATTACTTGCCAATGTCTTTCCGATTTCACCGACAGCATCTAATTTTAGCGACAATGTTTTGAGTAAACCGATGCATATTACGTGTCTGACTATCGGTTCTCGTGGTGACGTTCAGGTAGATAATCGTGTGTCGGACGTGTATTTTATTTATTTATTTATTTACTCATTTACCTATTGTTTGTTATTGTAGCCATACATCGCATTGGCAAAGGGATTAATAAAACAAGGTCACAAAGTGAGAATTGCTACTCACGAAGAATATAAGGATTGGGTTGAAAGCCACGGCATCGAATTCGGATATGTAGGTGGAAATCCAGCGGAATTAATGGTATGCGTTCACAATTCATTTTACGTGCATCTTGCTGTATTCACAATTCATTTTACGTGCATTTTGCTCTATTCTTGCTATATTCACGACACAAAATATCTTATCCACACCTTTTTATATAGAGAATATGCGTAGAAAATGGAATGTTTACCTTTGGATTCTTCAAGGAGGGAATGTCGAATGTAAGTATTCACAAATATGATGGTCATTGAAACTGGAGAGAAGATTATTAACGCTCGCCTTTTCTGTTCTAGTTTCGTGTTTGGCTAGATGATTTGTTGGAAACTTCGTGGAAAGCTTGCCAGGTAATTTTCTAAGCTACTATTTTCGTGTTATTAAAGTGATGATGCATTTTATTGATTTTTTTTTATTGAATTTTTTAGAATACCGATTTGATCATCGAATCACCTAGTGCTATGTCGGGTATTCATATTGCTGAAGCTTTAGGTAATTTTCATTAACAAATGATTCTACTATATGATGTTCGGTTGGTTGGCAATTTAGCTAATTATCGTGCTCTTTCAATTTTGTAAGGCATCCCGTATTTTCGTGCATTTACGATGCCATGGACAAGAACGCGCGCATATCCTCACGCATTCGCCGTGCCCGATCATGATTTGAAGGCGCCCTATAATTATTCTTCCTATGTCCTCATTGAGAATGCGTTTTGGCTGGCGATCGCGCCTCAAGTCAATCGGTGGCGAAAGCACACGCTCAAGTTACGGAACACCAGCATGGAGAAGATGGACCCATCCACCGTACCGTTTCTTTATAACTTCAGCAAGTGTATCGTCCCGAAAGCAAATGATTGGGCTGATTGGGTTACTGTTACAGGTTATTGGTTTTTAGATAACCCGGATATTGGTTGGGAAGCACCTAAGGGTCTATTAGAATTTATTGACAAGAACCGGAAAGATGGAAGGAAAGTGGTGTACATCGGTTTCGGTTCAATAGTCGTGGACGATCCAAAAGAATTGACAAAGACTATTGTTAATGCTGTGGTGATAAGTGGCGTGGCTGCGATCTTGTCAAAAGGTTGGAGTGATCGGCTACAAGTCAAAAACGAGGACGAGATTGAGGAACCATTGCCCTCGTGTATCTATCCGATGAAATCGGTGCCGCATGATTGGCTGTTCCCGAGGGTCGACGCGGTGGTTCATCACGGTGGCGCGGGGACGACAGCGGCTGGACTTCGCGCGGGAGTTCCGACCATAATAAAACCATTTTTTGGCGACCAGTTTTTCTGGGGTGATCGGATTGAAAACATGGAAATCGGATTTTCCATTAAGAAACTAACCGTAGATAAATTATCCGATTACCTTAAGCGTGTTGTCACGGATCAAAAAATAATTGAAAAGGCAAAGTTGGTTGGCGAAAACATCAGGAAGGAGGACGGAGTCGAAAATGCAATCCAAGCAATCTATAAACACCTTGAGCACGCCAAACAGAGAATAAAATTGCAGAAGGAACGAACGGCCGGTGGCAACTCGATGAGTTTGGGTAGTGTGATACCTGATGATCTAAAGGTGGATGTGATAAATAATTTAAAATCGATTTCGTTATGGAAGTCGCCAAAAAGTGATAATAGTGAGAATGAAGGCGATGTATTGGTAGGACGTTCTGTCGATGGGAACAATGATGAAACCATAATAGCCAGTGTTATTTGATATTATTTATTCAATCAATTTTAAACGTGGTCATAAAGTTATCTTTTCTTTCATCGTATATTTGCATTTTTAAGAGATTAATATAGACTTAAATGTAAATTTCATTTTTCATCTGTAAATAATTGTAAATAAAAGATAATAAAAAGGATGCAAACACGTTCATATTACTCCCTTCAACATTTCCTAATACGTATAAACATGATAATTACAATATTGCAATAACAAAAATACATATCGTCAGCTGATGAATTTTGTGACAAACAAATTACGTATTAAAATTGTAATTTAAACTTGTATGGAAGTATGTTACACGACACGGTTTAATTTTTTGCATGGTGCGCAGCATTTCTTTATTACACGTGATGCGCCCAGCAACGCGGTAGCACGACGCGTACGGCGGAGAACGAAATAAACTAGTCTTTAATTGTATAAATGGAGGCAGACAGGAAATTGAATTAATGGTAGTAGAATTGTGTTCTTGTAATACAAAGAGTTTTACACGTCTCAAATAGAGTTAGCAGTTCTGGTTAAAAGCAGTACGCAATTAACGCCAACGTAAAATAAACCTGGACGCATCGATCTGATATATAAATTTTACACCGGTATTATAAAACCGCTATTACAGGTGACCACCCATTGCCATATAATATTATAACGAATCGTTTGGTAAGAAATCTGTACTCATCAATCACAGAAAAGTTGAAGGAAATATCAATAAATCCCAAAATGTTCTAATTACATGATAACCTTAAGGATGTTTCTGTAGATAATATTCAGCATCTACTGATTTGATTCACGTTTAATTTTTTTCTGCTGGTAAAAGAGTAATAATGAAAGGCTGAATTTGTACATGTGATATTGCCTTTTACCTATTGTAGCCAAAGATGGATGGATCGTCGGTCATCCGTGATCGAGATTCGTTCGGGATGACGAACCGAAGTATGTATAACGATAACAAAAAAATTTTTAAACTGTAATTACGCATTGTTTATTTCGATTATTGTGATGCGATCCGCTTTAATCCGCGTTGTTTTGATCTTATTAATCCATATATTATAACAAATCAGCGCAAGATTCTCGAACTCTTGGCAAGGTAAGACTAGTTGTAATGTGACACTATCGAAAAAAAATTATGTATATGTTTCTGATTTTTCGATATACATGTATTAAGATTTTTTGTTAATTAATATTGAATAATTCCCATTGCATATACACTAGTTCGCAAAAAAAAACTTTACCTTTAAAAAACTTGCGATAATACAAACAATTCTAATTAACTTAATATCGTGGTGATAATAATTACGAGTTTATCACAATTATATATTAAAAAGATAAATTTATCGGCATTTACCCTAATATCTCCACTTTAGCATTATTATTTATTCTAGCACGCTATCAATCAACTTATACAAAATCAATACTAATATTATCTCACATTTATCGGCTGTATATTCTATAGATTTTCTTAGCCACGTTGGTAATGTAATAAAATTCTTACAAATCCAATTTTTAATGTATGTTTTGATTGCTATCTTATTGAAGAATAATGTAATTTTTGTTAAAATTGGATTATAAAATATGTGGGTAATTCAAATTTCCTTATGAAAATAATTATTTCTGTTTTTTTTTTTAATATCAATCAAGTTAACTCTCATTTAAAAAAACAATCAATTGTTTTTTTTATTATATTTATTTTTAATTGAAATTTTTTTGTATCAATTATATATACTGTATACAAAGTTTTGTCTTGATTTTTTTTTCATTGTTATTATAAATTAGAATTGAAACTTATGCTATAATGAAATATATTAAATAAAGATTTCTTTATTTCTTTAAATTAATTATATTTGTTCTTGCTTAATTAAGCAATTTTATTCTACTTTTCTTATAAACTTGATATAACACTGATACAATAATAGATTTGACAGAAAAGAAAAATTTTTAATTTATATTATACAAGTTACAAAATAAACATTAAATACAATACAATTTACTTTAATTTTATTTTATATTACTTATAATATTATTGGTTTATTTCATATTAAATAATATTTGATTAATTTATATAACTTTTATAAATAATATATTATATATGATAATATATTCAATTATTATATTATACTTTATTTATATCTTATACTATGGTTTATTTTTATTGTTTTTTGTTTTTTTGAATAATATACTAAAAATTATAAATTAATAAACAATTAAAGCAATTAATAGTATTTTTTCTAATTATTGTTTTGTTAAAATAAAATTTAATAAACTTTTATCAAAAAATATTATTGTTTATTTTTATATATAATTATTACAAAATATTATATTTAATATACTTTTATCAATATATAACTTAAAAATTTATTTCAAAAAATAATATTTTGTTTTTTTAATTTTTTTTTTAATTTTTTTGAAGAAGTTTTCCCAGTAGGTAAACATTATTTCTTTATTTTGATTTGTATATAACAAGATATATATTGTTAAAAGAAATAACATCTCTTTTATTATTTCAAAAAAGTTAAATGCTAACTTGCCTACTTATTAATATTTAACTAATATTATAAAAAAATTCAAAATCAATATTAATGTATTAAATAAAGCTGAATAGCAATTATATTTATCATGTCAAAAAATTTTGTAAATTCTTTTGATTTTTTTAATGTAAAAAATTGAAAAGAAAAATAAAAGTAACTATAATTAAAACTAAATTAAATGTATTATAGGATCTATGTATTGAATGAAAAAACCTCCTGGTAGACTTATGGTCCCAACTCTCTGTCCTTCCGTATGCTATAAATGATAGAGTATATATGATATTGTTTATTGTTATGGTCATTGATAATAAGTTTGTTGTTGTTATTATTGTAATCATTGTTGTGATACAAAACTGATTTGAGCTTATTTGGTTTTTGCTTTGTTCATTAGATAAAATCTAATTGGATGATTGAAGAGTGCTGATCATTTGGAAAGGATAAACTGATTTTGGATTTTTAAGTGAGAATTTTTTGGAGATTGAAGGTGGCACAGCAAATATTGCTATGAAAATATTGTATATAAAGGTTGATTTAAAATAAACTGTAGACCCACTAACTCTGTTTGAGTGTATATTTTGAAAAGTATTTGGTTTAGTGTATACATGTTGCTGAAATTCATAGATCCTTGATGCAATTAATGTAATTATTTGATGCAATTAATTGAATCACTATTAAAACATATAAATAATTAAGTCATAATGCAATTATTTTTAAGAATTTTAGGAATTGAATCAACAGCAAATAATTTATACCACATATATAGTTTAGTGGGTATAATAATAATAATATGGATGATTTTTATAATAGAATAAGAGTAAGAAGAAATACAAGAGAACTGAAGAAAAGAGAACTGTCATATGTCTTTTTTCATGCAATCAAAAGATAAACAAGACTCCTAAACTTGAGTAGACTTTGACCAGAAGTTCTATTCCACTGTATTTGTCTTGAAGATTTTTGAGTTCTTGAGTTGGGGCTTACTTGTAATAAAGAAAGTAAAATATTTTTTCTTGCTTAAAATTATCATAAAAGAAAAATTTTTAACAAAACGGATGTGATTAAGAGAGAGTTTTTTTAAATTTATATTATTTAATTTTTTTTTTTTTTTTAAAGTAGGTAAACATCATTTCTTTATTTTATTTGTATATGACAAGGTATACATCGTGAAAG